TGCACCCTGACTAGCTCATTTCCTCCCCGCGACCCTTCCATAAGGGGATGTCCAATTGCCTACAGCTGGGCTTTGGGTCTCCACTCCGTACTTCCTCTCATTCACAATATGATTTTTTGTTCTAATGATGCCTGATACCTCATCCCTTGAACACCTCGTGATCACACAGGCTGGTGTGCTTCTTCCATGTGGGCTTTGTTGCTTCTCAGCTAGATGGCCACTTGTTTTTACCTTCAAGCCTTTAAGACCCCAGACACTCTTATCTTTTGATTGCTGGCACCATCAGCTTTCTTCGTCACATTTGTTTATACACCTGCTTTGTCTTCAGCGATTGTGTCGGGAAGGTGAGCATCATGAAATGCCAGTTTAATAGAACAAAGTATTTTTGCATTGAGGGAATACTTGAGTGGAGGCCCAATGTCATGCTACAAGAAGGATTTTTTTTTTCCTTACACTTTTGAGGGGTACCAACTTCTAATGAACTGATAATGGCGTGTGTGTACGCGCGCGCGCGCGCTGTGAGTCAGAACTGCCCCGACAGCTCCTTACAACAATGATCTCTATCTACAATGTATGTAGATACATACACGTGTGCTACCATGGAAAATGTCGCCTCTCCTACATGCCTGGTGGGAATGCAAAATGATACAAACCTGATGGAAAGGATTTTGGTCACAGCTAGCAAAATTATTCATAGGTCTATATTAAGGTGACCAGATTTTAACACTGGTAAAGCGGGACACCATTGATAAAACTCATCTCCTGGCGAAATAACCACATGGCAGCCGAAAACCTTATTCCCTAGCTTGTGCATTCTTTCCAAAAATCGGAACTTTTTTAAAACGCCGCAGGACGTGGGAAAAATTAAAAATCGGGGCGTCTGGTCACCTTAGTCTATGTAGATGTTTGTGTCATTTTGCATGTCATCCAAGGGCCTTCATGTTTTTCACTGCCCCTCGACTGTACCAAGCACGATGACCCTCTGCAGCCCCCCTGACAGCATGTCTGAAAGATGGCGAGTGAAGCTTCTCCATCCTAGCTTCTAGGGAGGGTTTGGCTGTCCTTCCACTGCAGATTTGTTTATTTGATTGTATAATCACCATAATGTAACTGCACTTATCCCACTTCCTCTCTGTGTTCCCTATTTCCATTCCTCAGGTGGTTGATTATTTTATGGTATTGTATCTAACGCTAGTCATACCATTCCATGCCCTTATAGACCTATGTTTGACTGCAAGTTGAGTTGGGTTTTTTTTTTGCAAATTGAGTCTTGTAGACGAGTTCATTCCCACCAGTCTTTTCCTGGCCAATAAGCCTCGTCTTTTAGGATTCTGAGTTTTGCCACACCTTCCTCCCACTCCATCCAGGACCTTCTAATGCCCCTTTCAGAGTAGTTGGCATTGGTAGCTGGGCACCATTCTTTTGGTCTCAGGATCACCGAAGCTGATGTTTATACGCTTCTTTAGTGCATTGGACCAGAAGTTGCCATGGGGTCTTCAATGCTAGTCACCCTTCTTGCCTGCAGACAAGGAGAGACCAAAATGTTCTCCATAGATTGATGGCTGCCCGTGACCTTTTGAGACCCCAGTTGTCCCTCACCGTAGTAGGACGTGTAGCGCTCTTTGTGGACTGCGTAATGCCAGTGGGCCTTGCTGTCCCCTGAGCTTGTTGTCCTGAGCCCCCATGCTCTGAACTCATTGAAGGGTCAGCTTTTAGAAATGCTCGAGGCTGTGTGCTGATGTTTGTTTGTTTTAAGACATTGCTGTCAAGCCGGGGGTTGGGAGTGATAATGCATGAATTTATTCATTGCGTGGTTTATGTAAAAGGAATAAAGTGCCAGAAATTATTAAAATTCTTAATGACACAACTTGTAATTATTGTTCACGTTTTCTAACTAGAAGACATTCCTCAATCTGGGCTCTACTAACCTGTGGGTTCTGTCTTCCTGCAACAGCTTATGACTGCCTGCCTTACCAGTGGCTTCTGTGGTTCTCTTCCCTAACTCACAGTTCTAATCACAAAGGGACTTTAGCTGGCCCATGAACCCCTCAAATTGTATGCATAATTGCATGTAAATCTGTGTGTTCTGGGAGACAAAAGAGGAGGTAAATCTTAACCGTTTTCATTAGATTACCAAAGGATCTGTGATCCAAAAAGGTCTAGAAACTCAATCCTAAATATATTCTTTTCCCTTTTGAAGGATGTTGCAGCTCGTGGCTTAGATCTCCCTCAAGTCACATGGATTGTTCAGGTAATTTTTAAGTTGTTAAAGTGTGAGCTGGAGGCAGGAGTACATGATCATGAGTAGATGCTTGGGCTTTAAGTAGAATAATTACTATCACCCGCTTGGGTGTTGCCCTAGTAACCAGGCAGTAACCACCCTCATCGGCACAATTCTCCTGACAGGATTTATCCTGCCTTTGCCTAGCCCACCTCAGCGCCACGGCAGAGCAGCCAGACTGCAAGCGAGTAATAGGGATGGCAGGCTCTCCTGCTCCCAGACTCATACACAGGAAAGGTTCCACAGTCTGAAAATAACGGGAATCGCCCAGGCCCTGGGAGGATCATTGTCTCCAGGAGGAGATGGCTCAGCTATCCTGAGAGCTGTGTCCCAGTACATTGACCTGCAGGGAGCAAGTAAGCTCCTGATAGCATCTTACACAACACACCTTCAACCTCCTGTAGCCACTTTGCCAGAGGGTACAGGTGTTAGACTAGAGTCTCGTGGTGTTAGCCTTATTTTTCATTTTCATTAGTCTGCTGAATGGCATTTTTAGGCCCCTTCAGTGTGGGGGCCAAAGGGACTCATGCCCTGTCATGGTTTATTAAAATTGTAATGGCACTGCATACCTGTCACCGGTTTTAGTTGTTTTTTGTTTGTTTTTTAATTCTGATCTGCCCATCACAAATGTTTACTTTTGTAACTCGAGGCATTGTTCCTTCCTTCCTGCCGATCAAGGAACAAATTAAAGATAGATAACAGGCCTACCATTTCCAACTTTCTTGTATTGTGGCTATTGATAAGTCTCATGTCCCTTGGATCTGAGAGCGCACATTTATCTTTGTCCTCTGGTCTTTGGTTTATGTAGCAGCAAAGAAAAGGATGAAATATGTCCTAGGGGGCTTCAAAAAGCTTATTGAGGAAATGGAACTAAAAATTAATGGGACTTTCCTATAGACTTTTTGAAGCACCTTTATATATGTTCACTTTGCTCTAATGATGAAGTTACTGTATAGATACAATAGGATGCTTTGCACAATTCAGTCTGCTGAGAGGGTGGGGGGTAGGGGGGGACTGCCCTTCTCCTGGATCCAGGCAGGAATCCCCAACTGCATTGCACCTCAGTTCAGTTAGGACTTTAAGTCATAGCAGATAGGTGGTAGGGACTAAGCTCCTGGGACTCCATGTATATATACACACACACACACACACACTTACACTTTATTCCTGGTACTGCCCAGGCTCTTCTATTGCCTCATTCCTACCACTTTGTCTACCAAGGAAGTAGGCCAAGGTCATATGGGCATCCTGGAGAAATTTAGCCCCACCTCCCAACCTTTTCATCTATTCCCAGTCCCCACGGTGAAAGGATACAACTAGAAAGTGAAGAGACCTGTGGAGAAGTAAAATTAAAAAGGAGTTATTGGGATAAGAAGATGTCTCGTTTACCTGGAAATTGGCCACTGTTCATGTTTGCATGTCAGAGCCTTGCTGTGTCCAATGAAGCCGGGAGTTGAGGGTTGACTGACTCTTTGTGACTGTCTTAGGGTAACCATGGCACTCAGGTTCAATTCTTGGGATACCTGGAGGCAGGTGAGCAGGGTATTGCACTTCCAGTTAATGGCAGTCCCTTGATCTGTGAATGCCTTCATTTTTGTTACCCCTTACAGTACAATGCGCCGTCCTCACCTGCAGAGTACATCCACCGCATCGGAAGAACCGCCCGGATTGGCTGTCCGGGGAGCAGCCTGCTGGTTCTGGCTCCTTCGGAGGCAGAATATGTCGACTCGTTGGCTTCTCACAAAATCAAGTGAGTCAGAAACCTGAACGGAGTTTCAGCTGATCTCACCTAATTAACTCTCTGTCGCTCTTTACAGCCGGATGGGCCTTGTAAGCTGACGGAGAGCCATTAACCCTTGTGATCCCTAAATGAGTCCCAGAATAGTCAGTGGCAAGAACTAAAAGCCTTCGCACCATCAGCACATGACAGCTTTCATTGCAGCGCCAGACTAAGGGAACGATCTGTTGCGCTTGCTTGATTTCTTTGAGACAGAGGTCTCTGTTTCCTTCCTTGACTGTAGAATGCCTGTGCCCAACTCACGAAACCTCTTTAATTCACAGGTTTCATGCCTTGCAATTGATGTTTTATATCTTTGAAGTTCATTTCTAAAGGAGGCTTATTGAACTCATCACACAACTTATTTCTCTTGGGGAAATAAACCCAAGGGACAAATGACTTCCGGGTCAACGAAAGACATGCTTTCCAGCCAGATGGCTGCCTCTCACAGTCCCCTCAGTCCAGTCTGGGACAGCAGACTGAGCTGAGTGCCCTGGGAGTGCGCAGAAGCCTAGCCAGGCCTTCCATCAAACTGCGGGTCTCATGGAGGAAAGACCGAACAAAGCACCCCTAGACAGCTGCCTCCTTTCCTGGCCAGGAGTAAGCAGAACAGCTCCAGCAGCTGAGGCACGGGTTCTGATCCTGGGCTTCCAAAGGCATGCTGCTGTCCTAAACCACAGAGCTGGGAAATTGGAGATGACGTCTACGCTGAAATGTCTAGCAGATGATGTGGAAAATTGGTCTGAGAGGGCCCACAGCACGTAGCAGCCACCACTTAGAGCTGCGGTTCTCAACCTGTGGGTGGAACGACCCTTTTCACGGGGATCGCCCTATTCATAACAGTAGCAAAATTACAGTTATGAAGTAGCAACGAAAGTAATTTTATGGTTGGGGGGTCACCACCACATGAGGAACTGTATTAGGAAGATTGAGAACCACTGCCTTAGAGAACCCACATGTGGTGGTCCCCACCGTCCTGCTTCCCATGATCCCACCTGCACAACAGTCACCCCTCAGACTGAGCAAAGCGCTTTCAAGGTGGCTGGTGTGAACATGGGAGGGTTGGGGCTCATTCCCAAAACGTGCTTGACACCCCTCAGTGAGGCAGATGACAATATCAGGTGGCTAAAATGAAGATAGTGAGTTTGGCCTTTTTTTTATTTAATCTGTTTCAGGGAGCTGTGCGTATTTGACCTTATGTGTGGGAGAAGTCTCATGTAGATCAGTTAGTCAGGCACTCTTCCTCAAGAGTTTGGGTGGCAGCTGGACTCTGTGATCCAGGAGTCTGGAGGGAACTGGCAGTTCTCGTGTCCAGGCCAGCGTCCGGCCAGGAAGGTGGGCCCCCGAAATCTGGTGGAACTAGGAGGGCCCTTTGGCCTTGAGAACCCTTGCTCTTTTTCTTCCTGACCCTGTTCCCATCGGCTTTAAGCCCATCACAATTTGGTTACTTCTTTCTCTGTCACAGAGGAATTGGTATACTGTACATTTGAAAACCTTTCCAGGATTTTGTTTGTCCTCCCACAAGAGAATTATTTCGTCAGTGCTCCTTAGCAGTTTATGATTCTACAGCTCCTCCTTCTGCTCCTCCTCCTGCTCCTCCTCCTCCTGCTCCTCTGTTCAAGACCTGCAGGTCCACATCCACGTTCAGCCGGCAGCCTGTGGATGCCTCCCTGCTCCTCGCGGTTGCTTCAGAAGACAGAGCGCCCTCAGGAAGTCGCACGAGGTTCTCTAAACGCCAGAGCCAGCCACAGCCCATGCGCCTCTGGCAGCCTCTCCTTCCGTGTGTTCTCTTTAATAAACCCACGGAGGTCAATTTCCAAGAAAGGCTCAAAAAGATAAACTGGAAATTGCAGAGGGGAAATGATGATCCACAGGAAGACTATTAGCAAGCTAAGGACGTTTTTCTTTTTTTTAGATCATTTTATTGGGGGCTCTTACAACTCTTATTACAATTCATACATCAGCTGTATCTGACATACATCTGACATCAATTGTACATATATTCCACCGTTCTTTGTAGACATTTATTTTCCATTGAACCCTTGGGATCAGCTCCTCTCTTTTTCTTTTCCCCCTCCCTACTCCCCCTGCAAACCCTCATGGACCCTGGGTAGATTGTGAATTGTTCATTATTTTCAAATTTCACACAGACCACTATCTCCCTTCCCCTCTGCTTTCTGTTCTTCCCCCTGGATGGGGGGTGTGGTTATGTGCCATTTGTTGCGATCGGTCCCCTCCTACCCCCCCCCTCCCCTTCCCCCTACCCTTTTGGTATCTGTATTCCCATTCCTGTTCCTGGGTTCCATGTCTCGAGACCGGGAAATGGGCATCAGAAGACTCACAACAAACAGTAAACAAACAAACAGACAAAAATGCATTGGTGAGAATGGAGAGGGGTTGGAGCGGAGACCCAAAGCCCATCTATGGACAATGAAGCATCCCCCCATAGAGGGGTCGCAGGGAGGGGTGAGTCAATCGGTGCAGTAGAGCACTAACGGATCACGCAATATACCTCTGATCCTTTGAGGCCTCCTCACCCCCCACTATCATGACTCCAGTGCCACTTCCCACTCTGGACCAGATGGGAGCGTGTACATAGGCATAGGCGAGAGAGAAAGCTCAGCGCAAAGGCTGTTTTTCAGCGTGAGCAGTAAGATCGTCCTCTGTGGTGCTCCTGGTCACCTGGAAGAACAGTATGAAATTCGACATGATGTCCACGTTACAAAGGAGGAGACAGCGCAGTGTGCCAATGTGTTGGACTTGGAGCTAAAAGGGGTAAAGCTTGGGGAAGTACTGAGAGGAAAAGGTGCACTCTCTCAGGTGGAGATTGGAAAAGGAGGTGGAAGAGCATGCCACTAAGCAAGTAAAGCGTCGTCTCCGAGTTGATTTTTCTTGTGTCCTGAAAAGTCGCCTGTTGAAGCGGCACCCTCTTCCTAGGCCACCGAGCTGCTCTCTGGGCAAGCTGTGATCAACGTAGAGAAGCTGCCGTGCTCCTGTGAACTCTCCGTGCTGCGCTGTGCTTCCCACGCTCTGTTTGAGGAAGGACTGTTTGTGGAACTCAGACGGTTGCTTTGACTTCAGGCCCCCCAAATGGAAAGCAACCTGTAAATCTAGGAAGAGCCAGTTGTAAGGCGTGCGGTGGAAAAAAGCAGGCTTGAACATTTTTGCAGTCCAAAAGGTCCACTTCTGATATTTAAAAA